TTTTGAGACGGAGTCTCGCTCTGTCACCCAGGCTGGAGTGCAGTGGCCGGATCTCAGGTCACTGCAAGCTCCGCCTCCTGGGTTCACGCCATTCTCCGGCCTCAGCCTCCCAAGTAGCTGGGACTACAGGCGCCCGCCACCTAGCCCGGCTAGTTTTTTTGTATTTAATAGAGACGGGGTTTCACCGTGTTTGCCAGGATGGTCTCGATCTCCTGACCTCGTGATCTGCCCATCTCGGCCTCCCAAAGTGCTGGGATTACAGGCTTGAGCCACCGCGCCCGGCCGGCTAATTTTTTAATTTAAAAAATTTTTTTTTTTTTTGAGAGTCTCACTCTGTCACCCAGGCTAGAGTGCCGTGGCACTATCATGGCTCACTGCAACCTCTGCCTCCCGGGTTCAAGTGATTCTCATGCCTTAGCCTCCTGAGTACCTGGGATTACAGACGTGCATCATCACCTCCGGCTAATTTTTGTATTTTTAGTAGAGATGGGTTTTCGCCATGTTGGCCAAGCTGATTTCAAACTCCTGGCTTCGTGATCTGCCCAGCTCAGCCTCCCAAGGTGCTGGGATTACAAGCATGAGCCACCACACTCGTACTAATTTTTTTGAAGATGGGATCTCACTATTTTGCCCAGGCTGGCCTCCCAAAGTGCTGGGATTACAGACGTAAGCCACCACCTCATTGTTCTTAATATAACATATGATTGTATTATATTATTAAGTATTTCATCTATTTCTTTTTACTTATTTAATATGGCTACTAGAAAACAAAGATATACATGTGGCCCACATCATATTTCTGTTGGACAACATTGGGTCTGTACACTATTTCTAAATTTAATTTTTTCTTTTTTTTTTTTTTGAGACAGAGTCTCACTCTAGGCTGGAATGCAATGGCATGATCTTGGCTCACTGCAACCTCCACCTCCCGGGTTCAAGCAATTCTCCTGCCTCAGCCTCCCAAGTAGCTGGGATTACATACAGGTGTGCACCAACACACCAGCTAATTTTGGTACTTTTAGTAGAGATGGGGTTTCACCATGTTGGCAGGCTGGTCTCAAACTCCTGACCTCAAGTGATCTGCCTGCCTCGGCCTCCCAAAGTGCTGGGATTACAGGCACGAGCCACCACACCTGGCTGGTCTGCATGCTATTTCTAGATAATCAATGCACCTTCTCACTACACAATCAAAGCAGAAATATTGCGACATGGTTTTGCTGTCTCCCCACCCAAATCTCAACTTGAATTGTATCTCTCAGAATTCCCATGTGTTGTGGGTCGGGGTCTGGTCTTTCCCTTGCTATTCTTGTGATAGTTAATAAGTCTCACAAGATCTGATGGGTTTCACAGGGGTTTCCACTTTTGCTTCTTCCTCTTCTTCTCTTGCCACCGCCATGTAAGTAGTGCCTTTGCCTCCTGCCATGACTGTGAGACCTCCCCAGCCATGTGGAACTGTAAATCCAATTAAATCTCTTTTTCTTCCCAGTCTTGGGTATGTCTTTATCAGCAGTGTGCAAATGGACTAATACCTACTGCAAAGTCAATTATTCATTAGAAATAACACAAGATTTCAATATTCATTATTTTTATTTTCATCATTAAAGTCATGCATACTATTTTTTTAAAAAAGCTCAAAATAGATTACATACCATATGATTACATTGTATAACATTCTTGAAATGACAACATTATAGAACTGGAGAAATGGAG